CCCCCCGCTCCCCGCCCGCGGGTGCCTCTCTCCCGGACCGTCGAGCTGCGGCTCCTCCCGATCTCGGCGGGGGGTAAGGACAGCCCCGGTGCTCGGAGCGGGCGAGGGAGCGGTTTGGGTTCCGGCCCGGTGGCAGAAGACCGCCGGCGGGGACAGCGGGTCCAGAGGCCGCGTCTGCGGTGTGGCAGAGCTGGTGAGCTCGCTGCGTTTGAGCGCAGGAGAGGGTTGGCAGAAGTTCGTCATTTTCTCCCCCCCCTTCAACAACGCCCATATGTGTTTCATTTCTCATCTCTTCTGGTGGATTCGTTTCCTGCTGCTTCTCCATAGATGAGGTTTTTCACGTTGCGTACTCCTGTCCCTGCTCCCGATGCCCGGCGGTTCTTTTTCTAACCAATCTGTATCTTGAGCTGACTGTCTCTGGTACCTGGGCATTGCTGCTTCTCTTTGGCACGTAAGCTTTCAGATCTACGTTATGGCGGTGAACCTGAAAGAAGCCCTAGAAAGTGGCGCTGTCCCCTGAGTGAAATGCTAACAGTGCTTAAAAGTAGAAGTTGTTTGTATGTGTTTGTGCGTGTTGTGTATATATTAAGAAAAAAAAAAATCAGAAGAATGGTATGGTTTTGACCACCAGTGTTTCCTTGCTGAGAATATGGATTCTGGAGATAATGAGCACCATCCACTCCAGAATCTCACAGGATCAGTTTTGTAGCCTGCAAATTTCCATCCCCCAGGAAAGCATTTCAGAGATTTCCCTATCCCTCTGATAAGAATAACTATATAAGAATAACTATATATATATATAATATATATTAGTAATAATAATAAAAAAGTCTACTAGGATGAAAATACTGGTATTGCGAAAAAATAATAAAAAATAAGAAGTATACTTGGCTTAGCTTTTCACAATTTTATTAATCTTCATAAGCAGGCAGTAAAGAGTATAAAAAGACCAATAACCTACAGTTTGTACACATTCCCAAATGGTGTTAATGCCACCGCCTCTCCCAGCGACCTGTTCAGTTCCAGAGGACAGGACGACGTTGCACGCGTTGATCTGGTTCTGACTCGCGCTTGGGGGAGGATTTAGCTGTGGTTACCGAAGCCATTACCATCCCCGCCACCTCCCCTCCCCGCCAGAAGCACCCGCTGCAGCCAAGGGCTGCCAAGCTGGCTGCGTGTCCAAGCCGTGGTTTTTCCTGTAACACTGAAGAGCAGCCCTGGTGCTGGCCTGGAAGGAGCTGTAAGCTATGGCGGTGCAGCTGCCCGCCTGGAAGTTCAACCCCTCCAGCTTTCCCAGCTGAAAGTGACGGGAGAGATACGACTGAGGAGGGGGGTATCCTGGTGATACAGGGTGGAGACTGTAGACATGGAGGGAAGAGGGAACTACTGAAAAAGGAAAACAGAAGGTGATCCATGGAGGGAGGCATTCTTTGGTCAGATACTGGCTCTATCCAAGTACATCTGCAAGTCCAAACGATTTTTGAACATATTTACTTGTTCTTCAGCTGCCAACTCTAAGGAGACTAACCTCCAAGCATGTTCCACTTCTGTAAAACCACGTCTGAATGGCCCTGCCACTCACAAAGCAAAGCAAAGGTTTTGTAGTAACTATCCCAGAATACAATTTTCAGCAGAAATTTACCAGCTGACGAAGCACTTTAATGGTGTCATCCAACTGTCTTTTTTTACCCTTAACTGCAGATCAAAATAAGGTAAGGCTTTTATCTCATGCCATCCTCTGTAACGTCCCTGCATTCTGAAGTAAATTTTATGTTTTCTCAGATGTAACTTCGGTGCTACAGAACACTTCATCATCTTGTAACACCTTCTGCCTTATTTTAAGTACTGCTGCTCCGGTAAGACTGACAGGACGTAGTAGTGTACCAACGGAGAAGGGACAAAGCCCTCACTGCTGATCCTCATGAAAAATCACTAACTTTTTTTCTTTCTTGATTCTTTCTTTTTTCCATTTAAAAAGATGTGTAGTTCCTTTCAAATTGTCTATCAGCCCATGAAAAACAAAAGAAAACAAAACCCCAACCCCCCAACCAAACCTGAAAGTAAGAAGGTGATATAGAAACAGACAGAAATTGAAGATATTATTCATGTGTAAAAATACTGGCCACTGTTCTCCTGCCTAATCAATATGGGGAACAGATGAAGTTGGGATAGAAAACACATTATGTGCCATCGGGATTCACAATCCAATGGTAACTTGACTTTTGAGTGTATGCATCAAGAAGTAGATCCCTTACACGCAACACGCCTGTGCGGAAAGCGCTACTCACACACCCTCACAGGATTTAGCTTGTTAGCAATAGACGGTGAATATGGTAATCACCCTTTTAGTTTTTACTCTCTCACGCTGAAAAGCTCAGTGCATGAAATGAGTAACCATCCCTTCGGAGAGGAAAGGTGCAAGCAAGGGAAACTACGGACAGAAGGAAGCCATCCTGAGAAGATGGAGAGGGAGGAATGTATTGAAGTGATTGGCAGCCGCTGTTTGTAGGGCATTTGGGGGAAATATGGAGCCCCATATGGGGCGAAAGGAGATGGTAGAAGGGGAGGAGGGAAGCGCAGCAGAGACGCTCTTTTCTCCTCTTACAGGACCTGAAGAGTACAACAATCCCTTCTTTCTGCTAACTCTAAGGCCCTTCAGATCTATTCCCCTTGCAGCTTCGCAGGTCATGTTACAGCAATATTAAGAGGAACAGCGTACAAAGGGAAGAGACGGCAAATGATGTGGCAGGAGGTTTTTTCAAGGGTTATTTCAGAAGCCAGCTGAAGGCGACCAAAGCTATACAAAAGACAGGCAGGTAAAAGGGGCACTGACCATGAAGAACTCAACGAGCAGTGGGTAAAATTGTAGTCTTATGATTTAAGGGAATGAGAGGTTTGGTGAAGAATGCCCGGGCTGTCAAGGAAGGCAGCTCTTTGGAGCATGAAGGCAGCAGCACTTGCAGGAAAGCTCTGGAGTTAGTGCGTTTGACAGAAGCACCGGCTAGGTAGATCCCAGTGCTGCTGAAGGAACGCTGAGGCCAGGAGAGCGGAAAGGCTGATCAAGGCACTACAGCCACGACTGCAGCTCCAGCAATGCGTTCCCGAACCCGCTACAGACAGGGTGTTCTGCTGGCCTGCAGACTGGCCTTGAATGAAACGCTTAACATGTTAATGCTTCAGAACGTCCCAGGTCTGAGACTCTATCCAGACAGTTGAAATACTAGGTACATGACAAGTCAGTACTGACTGCGACTGCCTGAGATTAACAATATGTGGGGAATACAGGTCAGTGTTTCAGTGTCAGAACCTACAAAAAAGTATTTCTGTGAAAGAGAGAAGGACACTGAAAACTCTAGTGGCTTCTGGAAGTAACTATGAGACATTTAAATTTAGGTTCAGTTACTAAAGCATGAAAGCATTTTGTTCCGCCTTCAACGCAAATCGTATGTAACATAGCAGAGGCATTCTGAGATCTCCATGGTACCGAAAGATACAGCTCAGTTTTAAGACAGGCTTGAAAGTCCTGAGAGGTGTTGGCAGTTTATTACACCTTTATGTGGTGTGGATCGATCCATTTGGAACAGCAATCAAAACAGTTCTATCCAAGCTGTTCCTTTCAGCTCCTGTCATTACCCAGTGCTTGTTCCCGTTTCAGAAATTAGATTATTTGGGGGCTTTTAGTGTCAGTGCTGCACACAAGAACAGCTACCATGTTCCCACCTCCCACATTTCCTACCGACTTGTTTAATTTTATCTTTAAACAACTGCCACCATGATCAAAGTCCATCACCACTTGAATTTACCAGTTAGCGCAGAGTTAATGGAGAAAAAAATAATACGTACCTGGCCGGAAAAGGCTATTCATCCCTTATCAAGCAAAGTGACATATCTGCCCATGTCTTCTCTGCTGCACACTGGACAAACTAGTTTTACAGAAACAATTGCCAAAATATTTTAAAAGCACTCCAATTCACCATATCACAGATTCCCTTGTGTCTCTTCTCTATTTATGCTTCTGGTCCTCAAGTCTTTTTGCCTGTCTTTATTTCACCCTCTGTTTTTCACAAATAAAGTCCTGCTTAACTTAATAGACCTATAAAATTTTTGTTTTGTCTTCAGTAAAGTTCATTCATTCTGGAATAAATACATGTTCTACACGACTGATGTTCTTCCGATTATGTGATACGATACACAAGTAAACAAGGAAGAGAAGACACAACAATGCCGTAGCTGTGAGGAAGACGAGGAGCCCAGCAAACAAAGAAGGTTTCAGAGGTAACCGGATCAGCTTGCCTTCTGCTGGAATCATGTTCGTGAGGCTTAACATGTAACCGAGTGACCATGCTATACTGCTGTTACCAACCTGAAATAAAGACACAAGAGTCCTATTCCCATGAACTTCTCAGTCAAAGAAAAGAGGTTCCAAAAGCTCAACTGCTGATGCTGGCAACTGCCCTTTAAGTTAACAAGGAGAAAACTTCAGTGGAGTAAACAAAGATGATACAGAACCATTTTAAATTACCCTTTTTTTGTAGTTCCAGAGGATGCTAATAGACTTGGTCACTGGGCTAAAGTATGCGATGGATGGGTACAAGGATGTGTGGTATACATGCAGACAGCCTGTTCTGGGATTTTCTGTGCAAGAAACACACTTTAAAAAAGAAAAAATCAGCACTACTGTGCTATTTTCTAGAATTAGCCCCTCATCTTAGCCAAATCCTAGGATGTTATTTAGTTCAAGCAAACAAAAAACTCCACGAAGAGTCCCACCGAGACGGAGGGAGGGACAAAGAGGAGGCCAGGGTAAAGCTCCCAAAGCAGGACCTCTGTTTATCATCTTTTGTTCCATGGTTGGTTTTGTGCCTGCAAATGAACAAGCACTAGCTCTTCCATTTAAAAAATAAACATAAGTGGAAAATTACTTAGGAACAGGTGAAATAGAAGCAAAGGGGGTACATTTGTATTTGCTCCACAGTCCTCCTGCTTTGCTCTTTCCCCACTTCTAATTTGAGCAACAGAGTTTATCAATTTTCCACTCTTTTTCATTAAATCATCATCCTGCCACTTGATAGGCACAGGATCAAAGGATGAAGATAGAGTGTCCCTTGTCCTCTTCCCACATGCCCAGGCTCCAATAATGGTTTGCCTATTTATATAAAACATGTAAGTACACATCACTGCCTCCTACAAATCAAACCACAACTTAAAAATCTATTGTTAAACAGAATGAAAAAATAAGGGGG